ATCTCTCTCCTCTCCTCTTTCTCTCTCTCTCCTCTCTCTCTCTCTCTCTCTCTCTCTCTCTCTCTCTCTCTCTCTCTCTCTCTCTCTCTCTCTCTCTCTCTCTCTCTCTCTCTCTCTCTCCTCTCTCTCTCTCTCTCTCTCTCTCTCTCTCTCTCTCTCTCTCTCTCTCTCTCTCTCTCTCTCTCTCTCTCTCTCTCTCTCTCTCTCTCTCTCCTCTCTCTCTCTCTCTCTCTCTCTCTCTCTCTCTCTCTCTCTCTCTCTCTCTCTCTCTCTCTCTCTCTCTCTCTCTCTCTCTCTCTCTCTCTCTCTCTCTCTCTCTCTCTCTCTCTCTCTCTCTCTCTCTCTCTCTCCTCTCTCTCTCTCTCTCTCTCTCTCTCTCTCTCTCTCTCTCTCTCTCTCTCTCTCTCTCTCTCTCTCTCTCTCTCTCTCTCTCTCTCTCTCTCTCTCTCTCTCTCTCTCTCTCTCTCTCTCTCTCTCTCTCTCTCTCTCTCTCTCTCTCTCTCTCTCTCTCTCTCTCTCTCTTCTCTCTCTCTCTCTCCTCCTCTCTCTCTCTCTCTCTCTCTCTCTCTCTCTCTCCTCTCTCTCTCTCTCTCTCTCTCTCTCCTCTCTCTCTCTCTCTCTCTCTCTCTCTCTCTCTCTCTCTCTCTCTCTCTCTCTCTCTCTCTCTCTCATCTCTCTCTCTCTTCTCTCTCTCTCTCTCTCTCTCTCTCTCTCTCTCTCTCTCTCTCTCTCTCTCTCTCTCTCTCTCTCTCTCTCTCTCTCTCTCTCTCTCTCTCTCTCTCTCTCTCGCCCGTGACAGCTTGGGCGACGAGACTCGTGTGCGAGGGTCAGTGGCGGGTCCAAGACAAGCCATGCTGGCCATGCCCCGCACTTGAGAGGTTTACGTAAAACGCTGAGCGATTTCACAGGATTTTTGGCCCAACTTTACACAATTTCGGAAAAATGGAACACTTTCCCCTTCACTGAGGACGGTTTTGGCCACAAGCCAGAAGGGAACTAATGTGATGCCCGCTAATGCAAAGCCCGGTGCAAAGCCGTGGGCGGGCGTCTGCCCTGTTGTGCTACGGCTTGCTCCATGACCTGCATCCAGCGACTTAGCAGGCTGTTCTTTTGTAAGCCGGTGTTCGTACGGGGTTTGCTGATGGGTCATCAGTTGGCTCCTGTATCTGGGTAGAATTGAATTGTCATACCAACACACGCCCGTCGGCTCTTGGCCGTCAGTACGGACTTACCATGAATTATCCACGTTCGGGAAAAACACTTCCAAGTTAAACTGCAACGTGATGGATGTCTTTGCATCTACGTAACACACTGTTTTACTTTTAAGTGTTTTTCAAGATGGAAGCCACTGTTTTAGACGGTTTCTGCGCTCGTAAAAGCAGAGAAAAACATACTATGTGCACGCAATATTTTATGAACGTAATTGGAATCTAGGAACATCGCTGCTTGTACAATTTGTCAATTCCATTATTCCGATACAGCACAAGTTTCGCTTCCGCAGCTGCGGGACATCTCGGGGATGGAGCAGACCTATGTGTAGAAGCTGATATGGGAAAACCTGAACCACTTTTGAAGTGGTGTAATTCATTCAACATTCGGCAACATAATGTGATTAGTGAATTCGCCACCCGAACCGTTTTGTTGCGAGCTGCCCTCCTAAACAGACGGGCATGATGACCTCTTGTAGAGGTCATATTAGCCGAGCTTTTCCTTCAGGCGCCCGATCAAACGTTTTCAGGGTATTTGCCGCCTTTGATTTTCTGGGGAGGGGTCTTCATCCCCGGCCAGCACTACCACAACAGCCAAAAGGTCGAGTGATTCGAGGAGCAAAATATATCTCTGGATCGTACGACCCCAGCAATCATCAATCGTTGGCTTCACTTCTACCCAGCGCTTAGTCTTATCAATGCAATCAGCAACGAGCGATCGCAAAATATTTCATCTACGGTAAAGCAGACCAGACCAAGGAAATGGTGGATGTAATTGGTAGGGAGGTAGGGAGAGTGGGCCATTAAATGGAACTCGACGTATTAGAGTCAGGCTGTCACTAGCGATGATGCGGGCCAGTCCGGTCTGGTTCAGCCGAGTGGACTCAATAATTGCACTTGCGGAACAATCGTTTCCGACCCGAAGTTCTCACGCGCGGGGTCGATCCTTACACCCATCAGCTGTGGGAAGATTTAAGTTGGCTCCGATTCTGGATCAAGAACAAATGGCAACCGGATAAATGATCGGATGGAAAAAGATCGCGCGTAAAATATTTGCATGCAAACAGATGGCCCGTAATGCGGCACTAACGACAAACTGTCAATTGGGTGAAGATAGCATGGATGCCGATCATGAGACAAATGACCACAAGGAATAGAACATCACACGTACGGCCGAAATACCAAAGCACCGAAGACACGGAAATCTCTTATTTTCACGACAGACGGCACCTAACTGAAAGTTAAAGTCGGCATGGAGCTTTATCACCGACCCCAAAGCCTGTTCCCTGAGGAAATCCTGCCAGCGCCCACTACCACTTCCACGCGACTCAGTGCAGCAGCTAGGCGCACGATTGGTCCCCCCCCCCCCCCCATCGTCAACTCGTAAGAGCAGCTTTGCCGTCAGCAGTAATGACGCCATACCACCAGTTCTTAACAGCGCAACGGAGCACCCCCTCCGCTGCCCCTGGCTCTGCTAAAATGAACCACCTTTTTTATTTTCCTGTTAAAAATACTGCCTTAAACGAGCTATTTCTTTCACCAGAATCACCTTATTTCAAATATCATTGCAAATGTGAACAACTCCCTTTAAAGACAGTAATGGAAATAGCTCGTACGGGATAAAGGACGTCTGAGAAAACGATAGCATCCGAAATGATTGTGCACGATGGGAACTGCAGCGGATAAAGTTCCTTAAAGTCCGTGCGGAAAAATATTGTGCGATAGAAATGCCGCATGGCTGACCTTGTTTTCCAAACATGGCTTGCCAAGAAGCCACCGCTTGCGGTGTGTGCCGGAGCGACAAATGACGGCGCTTTTATCCCCCGTCACCAGGCGAGCGGAATGGAACGGGATCTGGATCTGGAGGATCTGGCCGGAGGTCAGCGACGGCGGGAAAATGTAGCCAAGAGTACTACTAAAAAGAATGTGTGCTCAGGCATTCTTTTTGTATTTTGGCTCCTACGTTCCGGAAATACCCGCGAGTCGTGGGACCTTGTCAAAAATTCCAGCAAGGCACACACGTTTCAAACGTCATCCTTCTCAACACAAAACTAAGGTAGCACATAACGGATAGCGACTTCGGCATGCGGCCGGGTGCAGGCTTTGCCGGGCAATGCTCACATAATCGGACATGTGGCAGCCCATAGCCAGGGATTGGTAGCTGAGGTATGCGGTCGGATACCGGATTTGCCGGATAATGTTCATGCATTTGGTCCGGAAGCGGTAAAAAAGCGCGCTCCGCACCACTGTGTGCAGTTTGACAATTTATTAACAAAAGTAGTGCAAAGATTTTGTTTTCAGCCACTGGGCGCCAAGTGGAATGAAGGAGGGTGGGGAAAGGGGGGGGGGGGGAAGGGAACGGGCGGAAGTCAGGCGCTCCTACGACTGAACATGCAGCAACAGCCAGCGCTACCGCTGCCCCTTCTGGGGACTTCCGTCCCTGGAATTCGCTAAGTGCACGTGCATGCACCACGTTTCCCAACTCCACTCCTTGTAAGTTCTGCCATAGCTTGCGATACCATCTTTAAACACATGACTACGACAATTATGGGCGGCGATCTTATCATCACACGGCCGTTATATTAGGAATATAATTCCTATTTGGACGGGGAAAAGGGAAAGGACTGACGCAATTGAATTGAGAACTTTCATGTGATCCTCGGCTTGGGATCAACTAAGGTCATGTCCGTTATCATCTCGTTCGTCCCAGCCCCAAGACCCGTCTCGATTATCATCAACGGTTTATTTAGTTTGTCTTCATAATATCTTAATCTCATTTCCGCCCCTCAGAAAACTTTTTGGCATTTAAGGTTAAACGTCAAGCTTTCATAACGGTTGGCGGTCAAATCGGTCAAAACGGTCGCCAAACATTTAAACAGTCACGCTTTTTTGGCACAAATGTCAGGAAAATCCGCATTGGGCTTCAACATCCGGGGAGTTGCGACACAATCTCCCGAACCACTTGGTACCATTTGGAGTTCCTTTTCGGTACAGCGCCACACAATTTGACATTAGCGCGGCCGTTTTGGAAAGCGAGAAAGCCGTAATGATTCTCCCACTGTGATGCTGTTTCGGGCCATAGCGTAACGGCCGGAAATTAAGGGGAAAAATCTGGCGGCACCCCACTTTATCTGGATGCTAAAAACTGCGTTCTGTAACCATTTTTTGCCCGTTCTAGGAAATTCCAACGAATTTTGGTTAAGCCCGATCCCTGTAAGCTAAAACAGATGTACATTTACACGGTTTTCCACCCTGGCCCCTGTTTGACCACGTGTTAAACCCTGCTCGACAACTCACCCTGGTGCTTAGTGACGTCACTTCGATGAGTGTTAACGCGAGTCGCGCGACGCCTCTTTCCAGCTGACTCGGACATATCCACTTGTCGAAATAGCAGCGGAGCCTTTGTCAGCGGTGCCTTTTTGTCAAACCTCATCTATCATGCGAGTTTGGTGTTCATGGGAGCTGAATTTCATTTACGCCCCTCAGAAGACTTTTTGGCATTTAAGGTCAAGCGTGAGGCCCATGTCACGCGATTGACGCGAGAGAAATGCTCGTCCGCCGACGGACGCATGCCTTTGAACGTGTCGATTTCCTTGGCAGCTATTGCCCCTCATTCAGTGGATGGGACTGACCAATTCTGGTCCGTTAATTACACGGGCGTCCTTGCCTCACCCGCGGTCACTGATTGTGCGGGTCGTGTCTCGTTTTAACGCCCGTGTTCCGTGTTAGGCTCCAGAAGGGTCCTGGGAATGTTATGAGCATCGCGCGCAGGTAACTTTTCGCACTTCCCAGTGCTGCATGGAGTAACCCGGAGACGCTTTTTGACTCCTGATGTTTTGGAGATCCGCTGATCACCACCATAGCACTGCGTATAACTTCCTCAATGTGTCTTTCTTGCATCTCACACGACACGTGCTGGACCAATGTGTTGAGCACTGCTTTACGAAGCCACAACTGACGTCACTGGTAGCTGCCTGTTCGCATCATAACGCTGCCCAAAAACACAATCCACGTATACAAATGTTTATTATGACGAATCTTCCGTCTATATTTTCACACAGAAATGAACGGACGACGTCACACAGACTACGTGACGTCATCAGAGCCGCCGACACCACGACTGCCCGAAGCCTGACGTCACGACACGCGGGCATGCCGACAGTCGTCAAGTGATGTACACTGGGGCGACGGCCCGGCACAACACACGCTCACTACACGCTCGAGGTACACAATGTACATCAAAAGTGAGGCCAAAAGATGGTGGAACCTTCGCTGACGCGACGGCCAGGACAGCTCCCGCCACACCCCGCAACACCGAGCCGCGACGTCACGCGCCACGCAGGCCCGGGTCTGGGGCCACATATGACAGAGCCGACGGGCGGGCGTGCCAGCAAACTGAGCCATGTACAAATAATGTCAAATAAAACGCTCTCCGCAGCATGCAGACTCACAAAAGGACAGCAATTGATCGTCTGTCCGCGTCCACCTGCCCCAGGCAGGCTCCCGCGGCGCAGTCACCACATCCGGGTCACCGACCATCACACGCACTCTACAACCACACCCCACACGGGCTTGCGCACGCCAGCGGGCGCACCGCGACAGAGGACAGGACACCGGGTGCAAATCGGCCCGAGACGGGCGGCGGGGCGGCGGGCGGCGGCGCGCGCGCTCGGCCGCCAGCCGCGCTCGAGATCAGCAGTTCAGCGACGCGACGCGACGCGACGTCGCGCCGCGCCGCGCCGATCGCAAGAGGTAAACACCGGACCGCGCGCGCCCGCTCCGGGACGGGCGCGCCGCACGCGCTGGCCGCACTCGGCTCCGCGGGCCGCCGCGCGAAGCGTGAGGTGTTGAGCAATCGGCGAAGAGCCACCGGCGAGCTGAGGGGTGGGGGCGATCGCCGGCGGGTGCGGCGACCCGGCAGCGCGCCCTATGGAGATCAGGCGGGCTCGGGCGGCCCGGCCGCCGCCGAACGCAGGCGCCCGTCGGCCACTGCCATCTGGCGGCGACTGCGGTCACCGCTGCTTCGGAGCGCCGCCGCCGGCGGGCTAACATCTCTCTAGATGCACGGTGGCCTACTGATTCCGGTGCAGGGTGCGCGGTTCTGCAGGTCTGCCAGCGTTTGTATGTACCTGTGTTAAGTGCCGCGTGTGTAGGCCACCGGCGGCCGGCCAGGGGCCCAGCCTTATCTGCGCGATTCCACCTGCATCGGCTGACTGACAGCCCGCGGGCCACCGCCCGCCGAAGCGAAGTGATTGGCCGCCGAAAAGCCTGCGCCGCCGTGATTGGCCGGAGAGCCGTACATGGTCGGCCCGTGACTGGCCGGCGAGAAGGCTGCTCCACCATGATTGGCAGGCGAGCCGTACATGGCTGCGCTATGGTTGGCTGGCGAAAAGGAGCCGCTGTGACTGGCCGGCGAGCCGAACGGGTTGTGCGGCGGCGGCGGAGGCGGCATCATCGACGTCACGGGAGAGGTCGACATGTGAGCTGAAAGGGTGACACGGGCGTCAGCAGTGACACCACATAGGTGAGAGCACGTGTCAACCGGAGCGGAGACAGATGACACAGGCGAACACAGGACAGGTGCCGGTACTTGCGACTTGTGTGACAACGGACATGTGTCAGCTACATAAAGACCTCATCTGGACCTCATGTACCTCACCCCAGACGGCTGAGGGAACATGCCAGCCAAGTTAAGGTCACACGTCCAAAAACGACTCCCCGCGCGTGAGAACGTATGTGATCTAAACGGGGGACAGCTGTCGATAACACTACTCCGGCACGGCGGCATGACAGCTGGACAGTGGACACAAGCGTCAGCGACGACCCGTAACCGACTGATGGAGGAAACACGTCAGCTGGAACAGAGATACACCATAGAGATCGACACCAGCCGGCTCAAATCGACCCGTAAGCCACAGATAAGAAACGGTAACGTCGCCGACCAAGTGCGTGCAACTAGAAGACGAAATAAAAGGACCGCCCTCCTCCCGTCTTGGGCATCCGCCTTCGCCTCTGTATGTGAGCGCATGACATAACAAGTCGCAGCTTGTCGATGCCTTGGGTGACTGACCTCAGGGAACAACGCAAAGGAGATACGAAACATAAATCTGACAACTCTCGTCTATGATGGCCGTGCAGGACAGCCACGACCGCATCTGCACTGGCTTGCCTTCTTAGCGAGCCGGTCAGATGGACTCTACAGTCGGGCCCGCCTCCTGCGCCTGACCGATGCCCACAACGTGAGGACCCCAGCCGTCAGGGCGTCGAGACGCACGCTCGGCGATTCCTCCCAGCCCGAACCCGTCGGCGGTACATTTCATATCACCGGGATAGAAAGGGATCCACTCAGAACGAAACTGCTCTGATTACATCGTCGCGGAGGCACCTCTCGTGTCATATGTCATTAATCTCAGTCATTCATCTCAACGTGATTCATCTTGTTACGGTGAATCTATAGTCAGAGTGGCGATTCGGCTAGGGCTGGCAGCAGCGTTATTAAGTCATCGGGAAGCAGGAAACACACGCATCAGTCACACACCAAAGCCACACAGAACAACAAACAACTGCTGTCGCCAATTAACAGCACATAAATGCGCCACAAGGAAAAAGTCATACCAGCACTAAGAAGCCGTTTCCAGAACTACAGTCACACATAGCCGGTCAGCGAGGCTTGCATAACATGGCTTGGCGTTGTATAAGGTTCACGAACGTCATTCCAAAAAACAGCAACGATACTGGACTTTTCACGACGTCCAAAGCAAAAAAAAGCCACACGTTACCCTGATCCCCATAACATCGAGAGCCTGTCCACTCATTTTTACTACTTCACATGCACACCAGACGTCGGAACTGATCAGTTCCCAGAAGTGTCACCGATGGACACAGCGCAGCGGCAAACATCACACGGACACATGAACACTGGGCGCGCTCACCTGAGGGGCTGGTGCCCAGTTTGTCGCTGGTCGACATCTTCCCGAAGGCCATCAGCGCGTCGGGGAAGTTGGGAGGAGTGGCCGGCGTGTTGGCCGGCGTCTGCAGCTGCAACAAAACGGAGGGCGCCGTCAGCACCGCGGCGGCCAACACCCGACAGCAGCACCGATTTTCAAGTGTGCGCAGCCCCATATGTACAGCAGTTATCCCACGTTCCGGAAGGTCACCAGGCCACGCAGGCTGTGTGAGGCTCCGGAGGTGCACGGCCGCGCTTCAACGCCCTCAGCGATCATTACATACAGCACAACAACACACTGACATCAAGGTTCATACGCTACCACAGGCGCAAGCTGGGCCACCCATACAGATTTCACATCAGAAACAGATGAGATGAGATTTTCAGTATCGACGCAAGACCACTCCGAAGGTCTTCGTGCCCTCTGCGCGCGCACCACAGCTTCATTTTCCTGCCTATAGATGGCGCCGCGGTTGCGCGGCGTCACACCCGGCCGCCCCGTTCAATGGCCCCAGGTCTACGCCACAAAAAAAGACCGGAATGGAGGCACCGAGTGTAAACAAACGGCCGGAAGCCGCGCCAGCGCACACCTGCGCTCGGCACCAGCGCGAGACACTGCGCGCCTGCCCCCGGCCGCAGGTGAAGCCCGGCGGCCGCACTGTCCGACCACCGCTCGGAGATGCGCTCCGCCCGGCGGCCGAGCTGGTCGACCATTCAGTCCAATCACCGCTGGTGTCGCCTCGCTGCTGACTGACGGCAAGCAGCGGCTCGCCGGCGCGGCGGCGCCGGACGCGTCAGCGCCCCATGCGCCACGCGCGCCGCGCTGTCTTGGCGCGGCGCCACAGCCCCAGGTATCAACAGGAGGGCGCGTCAGTCTGTCGTCTTTTATGCATGGCCGCCTCCGGGAAATTGGATGCGATGCATGCTGCCGCGCGCGCACGTGTCCAGTGGAGTCGGACACCGCTGATCCCGCAGATCCCCACACATCGCTGCGGTAGATAGCAGACGGACGGAGTGTGATCTTGTCTCTGTCACCTTGGCCAGTGGGATCAGCCTTGAGCGAACGCAGTGACCCCATGATAAGGATGGCCCCGAAAAGCAGGCAGCGATGGTGGGACGCACTCAAAACACATGGACACACGCATCTGCCCTTGGACTGCTTTGTAACGCATGCTATGTAGGCGGTGCGGAGGCGGCTGTTTCCTGACACAAACGGCTGTCATTCCCGGGAAACAGAAACAAAGCTGTGACAACTCTTGAGCCGATCGCCGCGCGTCCGCGCCGAGCACATCCGCCAGCGGCCCAGCCGATACTGCCCAACCACCGCCATCACAACAGTCAGCAGCAGGGAGCCGGCTCTTCGATGGGTCGACGGGTGGAACACAGTGCGATGCGATCCCCCATCCGGCTACAAGACAATACCCAAAACCGGTATCACGGCCCGATACCATTACATTTCGAAGCCCTTCAACACGAGGCTCGCCCAACTACTGCGCATCAAACACCGACACCGCACATCCCACATGATTTGACTCCAATTCTGAGTGTTTGACACCAAATCGATATGGGCCATTTCCCAACCAGCGCCTGAGAAGAGACCCGTCCAGCCCAGCCGATCGCCGAACGACCCTGGCCTCGCGCTTCCACCGCGTGGTCATTACACACCGGTCCCCTGACAGCAGGCCGGCCCGTCCACCTCCCACGGATAGGCCCATGAGCACCAGCCGGCGCTAGCCAGCCGGCGCAGATTCCGCTGGCCAACAGCCAGCGCACAAAGAAACCGGTCCGGCGGTTCACCGGGCACGCGCGGAGCCAAAACATCGCCTCTCGGGGGACGAGGCTGGGTCGGATGACCGCGCCACTCCGACACGGATCGTGCGCCGTCCGGCGTGCGGGCGCGCCATCGTTCCCGGACCGATACACTCTGTCGTTGGCCCTTCGCGAAGCCCTTGCCCTCCCGGCGGCGGGGGTGTCACGTGGTCGTTGCCGGCGCCGTGGCCAAGCGGCGTGTCGGGCCACGTGACCGCGCGCGCCGGCCCGGCACACCACGCCACGCGCGACGCCAGCGCCGCCGGTGGCGGCCACGCCAACCACCGTCCAAAACAAGCCGGCCGCCGCTCGATAGCGCAGGGGAGGGGAAAGGGAGGGGGAGGGTAGGATCGACGCCCGCGGCGGCGGCGCCGCTCTCCCACCGCCAGCCACAGCCACGGCCGCGCAGACGGGAGGGGAGCGGCACCGGCTCGCCGACGCAGCACGCGCCGGCCGGGCTCGCTTTAGACGCGGCCAGCGTACACGCGCGACGTCCCAGCGCAAAGCGCCGCCGCCACCGCCAGACGCCTCGATAGCGGCGGTCCAAAGCTCGCCCGGACCGGCCGGCTTACCGCCGATGCAAAGGTCACCGCGCGGCCCGTCCGCAGACGCGCCACGCCGCAGTGGGCTCTGTTGACGCTCACCGCCGAGACACCGGCCAGTCGACGGGGCGCGGTCCGGGCCGTGCGACGCGTCGCAGCCAATCGGAGCCGATCGCTGGAGCCGAGCCAGCCGGGCGACCTCCGCCACGTCCCTGTCTACCGCGTCTGCCCGGGACACAGCCCGGCCGCGGACACAGTCCCCGCTGCGGACACAGCCCCTGCCGCGGATAGTCCCCATCGCGGACACAGCGGCCGGCCGCGGACGCAGCCCCTGCCGCGGACACAGCACCAGGCCGCGAACACACGGCGACCAGCCACCGGCGGCGGCCTGCCAGGTGGCGGCCGCGGCGGCGTTGCGCAAGGCCCAAAACACCGGCGGCAGGACGAGGCAAGGTCAGCCAGTCCCAGCTAATGACCGCCCGGGCTCCGCGCCGCCCGGCCACACTGACACGCGCAGCCGCCACGCTGGCGGAGACGTCGCACCGCTGACAGCCGGACCGCCGTGCAGTCCCGCCCAGTCCCGCCCGGCCCGGCTCCAGGTTCGCTGGAGAGACAGATACTGCGGCCCCAGGCGGCGGCCGCGGCGGCGGCGGCGGCGGCGGCGGCGGCGGCGGGAGCCTCGGTCATCGCCGACGGCGCCAGGCTTGTTCGGCGTCCACATTCTCAGGGCCAGCGTGCCGTGCCGTCCCCAGCCAGTGGCAGCGGCGAGCCCCCGAGGCGCCCCCTGACTGGGCCCACACGAGGCAGCCCGCACCCCGCCGGCCGGCCCAGCTGTGCGGGGGACGGCGCCAGGGTCTCCCCCCTCGCCGCGCCCTTCGTCACCTGCCAAAACAGGACCTCGCCACGGCGGCCCCCGCCCGGCCAGCGCGACACCACACCTCCACAAGCGCCTGCCCGCCTGCCGTGCCGGCTGCCGCACAGCGCGTCGAGTTTCCGTGCGCGTGCGCCGCCGCCTGGCACGACGTCCGCGCCCAGCGAGAACCTGGCGCCGTGCTCTGCACCCGGCGGCGGGTGGAACCAGCCTTCCAGGGCGGGCGGAGCTCCGCAGGCCAGTCTGACAAACGGCCGGGGGAAACTGACCCGACGAACAGCAGCGGCCAACTCCAGTGACCGGCTCCGGGCACACACGCACACATACAACAAACCCTGCGCCCCAAAATCAACGACTCTCGTCAGTCATTCAAAATAAACTTCAGCACAAACTGCACCGCACGCGCGGCGACTCGCACTCGGCCGCGCGGCTTCCAGCCAGGGCGGCCGTATTTTCAACGTTCGCGGAACGACCCCTGTTTGATTGCCAACTGGATGAGCGTCACGGACAAGTCGAAAAGGGTCACTGGCCGGAAACGGGCGATCTGGTGCCGGGCGCTCCGGCGCTTTGATGAATTCGCGTGCATCCCAGAGCTTGCGTTTGGACACATCAAACCCGCGGCCTTAAAGTGCGGTAAGTGAACCGTGCATTAGCAGCTGAATCGCCATTATCTTCCACGCAACGCTCATATGTGCGCCAGGTGATGTCTGCGCGATTTGTCACTATGACACGTGATGCCGATACACGAACGGGAGCGCAATTGACACTTATTGAATTCCCCGACACGAAAGGCCACCCGGACCTCGACAGGCTTCGCGCACAAGAAATCTCACTGCTGAAGAGCATATCGGTTATCGGTACCACGGCATATCCTGGACAAGCATAACGGTTCACGTGCCCCGAAGAGCTGCGCACTGCTGCTGCAGGCTCCAGCGCAGCCGCCCGGTTTGACCGACGTGGCGGCTCCGCCAGACGAACATCACGTGCCGTGACGTCAGCGTGCCGCGGTGCGGCCGGAGGAGAGGGCGGCCCGCCGTCTGGCCGCCGCCGCCGCCGCCGCCGCCGCCGCCCGGGGACGTTAACCCGGCGCGGCGCAACATTACGACGCGGCGCGCTGCCAGCCGGCCGACGGCGCAGGGGCGGCATCAGCGCAGGCCTGGGTGGAGCGCCGCGGCCGTCACATCCGGCGGCGCACGCGGCCGGGCCGTACCCGCGCCTCCGAGCGCCGCAGGCTGCGCGACCCGTCGCGAGACGGGCCCGCCCGCCGCCGCCGGCTGGCGCCGCCTCTGCGCGTTGCAGGCCGCCTGGAGCGGCGGCGGCGGCGGCGGCGGCTCTGTGCGGGGGCGAAGTGGAGCGGCCGGGCGGCGAGCGGCGGCGCAACCCGCCCGTCGCCCGGCCGGGGTCACCCGCGCTGGCTCTGGCGCGGCGGGTCAACACACGGCGGACCGGCGGCGCCGAGAGCGGCAGCGACGCTGGCCGGCCCACTCCTGAGCCGCGGCCCCGGCTGCGGCCACCGGCCGAGGCCGTCACACTGCGCCGGACGTGCCTGGCGGCTCGGAACGCCGGTCGGTGGGTGGTGTTGAATGTCGGAAAAGCGACGATCTTCAGATGCGTTTAACTTGCGCAACACTCATACCTAGTACCAAGTATGCGCTGTCCAGCCAATGCATCGTCGGCGTGAACATGGGGGTGATCCCCAAGCCGAAGCCAGGGGACGCGTTAACAAATCACCTGCCTCTGTGGCAGGCGGCTTGGCGATGGCTCCATTTGCTGGCCCCAGCAGCTGGCGCCGCGCGCTCCTGTCTCACCGCACGGCGATGAAGGGGGAGGAAGTGACGCTGTCGACATGGCGGACAAACTCGTGGCCTCG